TTGAGGGTCAGACCGGCCGCATCGGCCGTTGGATTCGAGGGACATGTTTGGATCTGAATGGATATGTAGAGAATTGTAGAGTCTTATTGCTGAATATGTGTTGACCGGATCAGATATAACCTCATAGAGCACATATATATATATAATATAGTATATAGTTGTTCTTCATGTTGTCATCCATGGTTTTCTAGGTAAGTTAACGGTTTATATGTTGCTTCTTACTATCTATTCATATGGATTTTGGGGTCTCAAGTTCACTGTTTTTGACTTCTCGCAACTCTCAAACATGTGTAGACATTGCCGATAGATGCCAATAATCCAGATTTGACTCTCAAACTTCAAATGTGATGAGAAAACCAGAGACCTTCCTAAAATAAAACCTTGAAAGATGTCAAAAAGCCCAAGAAGAGTAATCCAAGGCACAGTTTGGGATATTGTTTGACACACTACACAGTTTCTACCTGGCTGTCTGTCGGTGCTGAAGCCTACTGCTTTTCTTTTTCAGACCTTGCCATGCACCTGATTTGGCTCACTGGATCTCAAGTTCTTGAGCTTCCACCCCACACCCTGGCCGTGCGCGACTTCACCACTCCAACTTCACCAGGTCGGACCGGTGGCCCAAGCGTTTCGTCGTGTCCGTCGCCCGGCACCGGTGCCAGTTGGAGTTCCAGCAGAACTTCCTGGAGACCCTGGAGACCGATTTGCCCAAGGGCTGCTGGGCCTTGCGCCAGGCCGACCCCTGGGGACACCTGCGGCCGATTGGTCCGATGGACGGAGGGGTGAGGGGACCAGCCTCGCCGGCGACACATCGAAGTTCCCAGTACTTTGGGCATATGAGAAGGGCATGAAATGAAATTGATCCATGATCCAAGTGAACAGAATTTGGACAACTTGGTTCTTGTTTGCAAACAGTTTGGCCGGTTTGCCATGGTTAACCTGGATCTTGTTTTCACAACGCCCACTGGCGGTTTCCTGGTAATTATTGAGAGACATGTGCAACAATCGAACAGGCTCTTGGCTCAGTCTTCCTGGTCGTGTTATGTTCAGTGCGCAAATCTAGCTTGGCTACGTCAAGAATATGTCTTTTCGTTCTCAAGCAACGATACCCTTTGACTCGTCGACATTAACTGACAAGAACCATTGTTTTTAGAGGAAAAAGGTCTTTGCAGTGGCCATTTTCCACTTCCATCTTAGTGAGTCGGAGTTGAGTGAATACCAAACACCAGTGTCTCCCATTTTGGGGTGTCTATCACGGTCCGGTCCGGCGTGCCCCGCAACCGTGAGGACCCTGCCACGGCATCCGTCACCTTGCGCTCATTGCTGGGGAGCACGTGGGGAATTCATTGGGTAGACTGACATTCCCTACACCTCCAGTCGTACCTCCTCAGAAGGTATGACTGGACCCTCCTGGCACCCACCCCAGTCCCACCTTCTTAGAAGGTACGACTGGAGGTCTAGGGATTGGATGTAGTTGATGTTGATCAAGGGGACGTGTGGTGTCCCTTTCATGAGTCCAATGGCCGACTTCTGTTGAGGTAGATTGACAAAGGCCCCCTTTTGGAAGGAATCTAGCCAGTATATAATAATATATATATGGAATGCATTCTGGTAGAAGGTGAAACCACACAGAATGTTGTTTACTGACTAGATGAGGATGAGGAGTTGTTGCTATGGAGGTAGGTCGAAAAACTCTTTTCAACGCAAATCCATTAAGAATTATTGATCAATCATTGCGGTACCCATCAACACAGTTTTTGCTTACGCTCGACTCGATTTATCGACATTGAGATCGTTGGATTATCGCTTGGAAGACCAATCATGGAAGTGGGCATTCTGCATACCTCGAGTTGGTATACTATGGTATACAAATCCGCAGTGCCCTTTGCAACATACAAGCTTCCCTAGGCTAGAAGAACCTGTCATCGACACCCGATTCTTGCAGCCGTTTACTTATCCAAAGGTTCCACAGGTGCAATAAAGTTACAAGCATTTTGCATGTAATTGTTCTATACTCCTACAAGCAACAACTTCAGGTTGACATGCATTCGACATCAACATCACCATGTTTGATGCCGGCTTTTGGATGTGTCCTCGCTCGGATGTCGCTCCAGGCTTTGGCCCGGCTACTCCGCGTTTCACCTGCCCGGCACCGGAAAGCCGGGGTCGCCCAGCCACACCGGCCGTGCCTTCGACCGGGTGCCGGCCCCGTGTGCCGGCCCCGGGGCCATGGGGGGGCCCGTCGGAAGACGGGTGATTCGAGGGCACGGTGAGTTGAGCTATGAAAGTTTGTACTAATCCCCCCCAAGTGTTGGATCATCGCTGGCTGGTATTGTTTTGTGATTGAGTCCTTGGAGAACATCCAAGTGAGAGCTTCAAGCATGGCTTTGACAAACCCTTAAGTGCGTGCTTGATAAACATTGACCAAAGAATAAGAAGCAACGGGGAGGGAATCTGTGAAAAGGGAAGTGTAGGAAACGCACAGAGATCTAATGAGCAATTCCTCATGGTCGTAGAACTCCCTTAGAATCGAAGAGACTACACTGAGTATTGTGTCACTTGCTGGACACCAGAGAAAGACGGACCGTAGTTTTGAACACTGCTTGGACATCAAATGACTACCAGGAGCCACAAGACGGGGGGGGGTTTTAGTCCCTAAGTGAGTGGACAATGGGCACCCCTATCCTCCAATAGGCACCCCTTGTTGTACTTCGTTCGAGGGATCCTGTAGACCATTGCAGCACATGCTGTCACATGCCCAGCGCCGTGTGCCCACCTTGCGGTGTGAGGTTCGGTGGGGTGTATTTCGGCTATGCCACCAAGAACAACGACTTGGCCTTCTTGATTTGAGGCCAGGCAGAGGGGATGCGGGAACATACAGCTAAGCGATGGTAAAGAAAGTAATGGTATATAACTTCGGCACACAGAAACTGCAAAGGGTTTCTGGTTCTTCTCATAATATCTCGCTCTTTCCTCAAAACATCGACATGTTCAGCCCGCTTGCTACTCTTGGTGGTGCAGGCCTTGATTTTCTACCAGGTTTTCATACCTTTTGGATCCTTTTGGTTTCTATGTTCCAAGGTTGCAGGCCCCGCAGATCGCCCCCTGAGGTTCAGATCCTTTCATTTTGACCAGTCGTTTCGCTTCTGGGCAGGTGGCGCAGTGGCTACGGTCGTTGGCCACTGAGGCTTGGTTGGAATCGGATTTTGGCTGTTTGAAACCGTGTACTCAACAGGGCTTGACCCTTAGCAAAGGACCTATGGACAGCCAAGATAAACGTTGGAATAGCTATAATCAACCTCATCTTGTGTTCTGTGTGCTGCGTTTTGCGAATTTGCACCATATGCTATACGAGCATATCAGCTTGCAGGGGAATGAATTGAGTTGTTTGAATGCCAGTTGATTGTTTTGCATTGAGAGTGACTTGCGGAGGGTTCACTCGAATTGCTTGAACCCAAAACCATATTCCTACGAGCAAGATGTTTCAGTGCACAACTACAACCATCTTGATCAAATAAAACATGAACATGTTGGTTGGAGTACGTCATTTTTACTTTTGCCAGGTAACAGGATGACTGCGATACTAGGTATATTTTGTTGTTCAACCTTTGCTTGAAAGCATTGAGCCCACTGACCTTTTTTTTTCAGGTGGGTTGAAACCCCAACCTGGCATGATTCTGGCATAAACTTCAGGGCAGCGCACCGGGAACTGGTGTTGTCAAGAAACAAGTCCTTTCAAGCGAGTTTGATCAGCAGGTGAGAACACAACATGTGACAGTAGCTTTGCTTGGTGGGTTCACTTGGCAGCCGTAGGCTGTAGCCGTGTTCCATCCAATTCCAAACAATCACTGCATGACAAATACCCCAACTCAAAGAGTATGGTTTGCCTCAAATTCTCCTGAACCCATCACAGCCGGACATGTTCTTTCTTTTTGTCCGTTGATCCGGTGCTTTTGGTTCGTTGATGAGCATTCATGACACGCGGCTGAACTATCAAACGTTCGGTATCGACTTGATTTGATAGACCTTCCAACGCAGCGCTTTCTTCCCACGCAGACGTGGTCTATTTGCTGTATTCCGTTCCTCCGTTCCTACGCAGGTGTTTGGCTCACCCGCATGATCTGGACGATGCCAGGCTGTGTGTATGGTGTGGATGCCAAGCTACTCCAAGCAGGTATTGGTCGGCTCAAAGCACGTCAGTGCTTGAATTATACGTGATATGGAGCTACCAACAATAGCTTTGGAATATGAGCAGTCCGGAAGTACTCGAGCGTCTACCAGCTTCTTGATGTTGGACTTCGAGGTCGATGGATTCCTATCAGGTTTGATCCATTAACCAGAGTAATTGGACTGAGAAATGGGCTGATTTGGGTTGATATGGCCCGCTGTGTAGTTGCTGTTTTGCTTTTCTCAGGGATATAGTATACGACCATAGTAGCGCACGGGTTGCAGAAGGCTGATATTGGGTGCGTTCAAGCAGCATGAGCCAGGGAAACAAATTACAAGATGTTGGAGACATTGTCTTTCATAAACTTAGTATTTGTATATATACACAAGTGACATGGTAAAGAGGCTTTCTACCCTCTTTGTTGGACCAACTGAGACTGTGCCACACCCGTGTCCTGCGCGTTTAGACCACGCTTGGAGGAAAAGTACCGAGGTTCTCATGCTTTGGAGGTCACTAGACCGGGAAGCTCTTTGGGAACTCACTTGGATCCTTCAAGGACTGCAATACTTCAAGTATGTTTTTGCAATGCAGGTGTGACTCTGGCTGCGTTTGTGCGCGATAATTTTGCAGCAAGAAGAGCCACATATGCACAAATGTCACTGGAAAATGTCCAATTGCCAATGTGTTGAAAGTCACGGAATGCCAAACATCTATGAGATTATAGTTCACCCCGTTCGGACCCCTTCACGTAGCCTAAAAGGAACAATTATCAAGGGCGATCACTAGCCTTGGTCTGGTGCTACTTCCTTTTTTGGCGTATCTCGGAGTTATTGCAGGGGAGAAGGGATCGTCAGCTATAATAAATGTCGAGACGGCAGTTCTCACCTTCGCCATGGTCGGCGAGACGACTGGCCTCCTTGCTGATCCTTTTCGGTTGGCATGCTGCCCATGAGGCGTTTGTCCCATATTGTCAGAGGGTGAGACGATGCAGCTCAATAGCAAAATGGACTGACTCTTTCTTACCTCACAAGCAATGATTTCGTTGGGAGGACCTATATCCGTTCCTTTGTAACAGGTGCATTGTGACTGACTAATGTATAGTATGTGTATTTGATGGATAGCTGTTTAGGGTCAGGATGGCTGCACATTATGTATAACTTTCTACCTTCCGCGCTTTGTGCAGAATGATTCTTGTTCAAAGCAACAGAGCCAGAACTCTTGTTTAGCATCCATGCAAAACACTTTAACTTAGGAAGTTTGCGACTGAACGTTGCTTTTGTGTTTGGTTGTAATCATTGTCTTCAAGATAATGGGCCGGATCAGGAATGACAATCCTGTTGAGGAACCTGGTTTGACAAACTACGATCAAGCATTTGGCCTGCACAGGTTCCTTTTCTCCCTTTTGGACAGATTTCAACCTACAATGCAGCACACTCAGCACTCACATAGCTATTGACTATTGATGTGCTAATAACCCCTGACAGGTGCAGGCACAAAAAGCCTCAACAAGTAGGGGTTGTTAGAACAAGAGCCCTGCCCCTCATTGTGAACATAGATGAATGAATTAGTCAGTTCAGTGTCAGGTCTTTACTGCAACGCTTGGAACGGGAAGACTGATGTGGTCTTCTATCTCATAGGCTTTCCCAAGGGGCACTAGGGTTGGGAAGCTGCGCTTTGTCCAAATGCAGGGATGGCGCACCTTCTTTTGGGCCCGACAAACACAACTGTTTTGAATCGACACTGAGCATGACTGGGCACTGAAGCGGGTCGCGAGGGTTTTCCCGACCTTCAAGTCCCGAACTGCAGAGCTAGGGGTGTTTTCAGTGCAATGCTTGATCCCCTTGCACAGCTGAGTACAACAGTCTCCCCTTGGTAACTGAACCAGTGCAGGTTCTTGGTTGCTTTAGGGGAGTCCAATATAGTCCAATGCAGCCTTTTTCCTGAGAAGACCTCAGTAGCAGCCAAGGCGTTCCACTTTCTCGCACTGCTGTTGGTCAAAATGGGTGGAAAGCTACAACACAAGAGGAACAGAAGAGAAGGATCTTGGATTGTTTGTCAAAGTCCCAAGGTGAATGGATGTCCACACTGAGTATAGCAAAAGCTGTGGTGGGAGGCAGTGGCATTAAGAAGGATGTGAACAAGCTTCTTTACCAGCTGTGCAAAGCAGGTCAGATTGTCCAGACGAGCATTGAAGGAGACACAAATTGGCATTGGATGCTAAAAGCAACAGAGAACGCCAGGGACACCAGCACCTCGACAATACATGACAATATATACTGTATTTTCTTTCGGGTGGGCCAAGGTAGTTCTGTCTCACACCCGTGGGCAGGTACTACATTTGTGCATCTACCCATTAGCTGCCAGTTCTTTGTCAATCGCAAGGTGTTTTTCTGCGAATGCCAGTGGCTATGGCTCAAAAAAGCAACAATCTGGGAGCCGTAAGTATTAGACATGTTTCGATCATTTCAGATATCTTGTTCAATGTGTTTCCTTTCACCAGTGGGTTTGATGATGACACCATGTTTTTGTTTTTGTTTTTATAAATGCAGGTTTGTGTCAAAACATAATTTTAGAATCTAGAACCTACTCTGGAAGAATCGTTGGGAACGCGAGGGAAAAACCTTCCATGCTCGTTTGGGTCCGCCTGAAATTTAGCCATGAGGCCAAATATGACATAATATGACCAAGGTTCATGTGCCGTGTTTCCATGGGAGGGTTTCGGATCCACGACCTCAGTAGCAGCCAAGGCGTTCCACTTTCTCGCACTGCTGTTGGTCAAAATGGGTGGAAAGCTACAACGCGAGAGGAACAGAAGAGAAGGATCTTGGATTGTCTATCAAAGTCCCAAGGTGAATGCATGTCCACACTAAGTATAGCAAAAGCTGTGGTGGGAGACAGTGGCATTAAGAAGGATGTGAACCCGCTTCTTTACCAGCTGGTCAAAGAAGGTCAGATTGTCCAGACGAGAATTGAAGGAGACACAAATTGGCATTGGATGCTAAAAGCAACAGAGAACGCCAGGGACACCAGCACCTCGACAGCAGATGAAAGCGTGGCTGGACCTAGCCCCTTTTCTCCCGGAACCAGTACCGTACGACTGTGTCCTACTTCAACTTCAACACTTGATGATCTTGGTCGTGCAGCGAGTGATCGAGAATTTTTTCGTTCGTTGGCCAAGTCTTTGGAACCCAAGTATGCATCAGATGTTGAGAGGATGATCAACTCAACTCTTGTGACGGTACGCGAGACGGCTGACCAATACCTGGGAAATGGAAGCACCATGGCTACTGTCAACATGATCGGTTCTCGCAACTATGGCACTGACATAAATGGCAGTGATATTGACTATGTGCTGAACGTTTCAGGTGTGTCAATCCTTAAGGAATCGTGGAGAAAGTTTGCAACTGTTCTCAACGAATCCATAACCCTGAGAGGTTGTGTGATCAATGGAAGCAAAGATATTTCCATTCGCTTGAAAGAAGGTCCACTGCTCCAATTTGTGCCGAGGCATGGGGATTTTGAGTATGAAAAAGTGCCTTACTCAAATCTCATAGCAGGGAAGAAGAATGGATGCATTCGTGACGAGGTGGAGGAGAAACTGAAAACCTTCTTTGAAAACTATCCAGGAGCCAGGAATGCTGCCCGAGTGTTGAAGAGTTCTCTCATTAGTTGTGTCCAGGATCTGCCTAAGCAGCCTTGGTCCCTGATACTGACGCACATGCTTTTTCGAGAAGCCGGACACTGCAACCACATCACTGACGTGGACGGTCATGACTTGTTTCGTCAGATGCTGAAAGATCTTGCATGGTGGAAATATCCCACGCGAGACTCCTCGGTACGGATGGTTGGAACATGGGCCAAGAATGGTGACTCGAAAGGAGTCCAAGACACAGTTTTGGAAGCTTTGAACAGATGGAGCGACATTTGCTCTAAAGTCCGGGAGAGCCTAGAGCCTCCATGAGTCGAGAAAAGGAATTGGGCCCCAGCAGCCAAAGCAGGTTCAAGTGAGGGGTGGAGTTGACTATGTGAAGACAAACTTGAGGCCCGTGTTTTCCAAGTATCAGTGAGCTCAACATCCGGACGTGTACTGAACACTGTTCCAACTGATCCAGGGGATTTCGTACGTTTTGCCTCACTGATTTGGTCTCCTTTCTTCTCCTTTGCACTCGAAAGGAAGGCCTGTATGAGCAAGCACCAACACGTGCAATTACTATCGTGAATCTCAGGAATTGAGCTGAAACCTGCAAACGCAATAGGCCCCACTCAAAAAGAGATAACCATATTTCCACAGTTTTTGGATATGTTCAGCTATGTTGACATTGTGGCTAAAGCCTGCAAAAGCGATAGGCACCCCTCAAAAGAGATAACCTTGCTGAATCCTTTGCTTGACACTACGTTTTGGGAGATACTTATATTCAGGACGACCCGTGGCTTTTGTCCTTCGCGGACAACTGACATTTGGGGTCCAAACGGCTGATATGATGTCGCAGGAGTTTCTGTTCCCAAAGGCTATTTTTGAGCAGAGTCTATGAGCAAACCTTTGGCGCAAGAGAGAAGCGATCCTTGATAAGGTTTAGACTCCGAGTCGCTGACATGGAAGTGGATCACCTGTTTCATCCAAGGGGCGACTGTCCACTTCCATTGTTTCAGGGAGTGTAAGATATACCAGGGTCAAACAAAGACGCCAAGTTGCAGCCCATATCTTTTGTTACTGTCATCGTCAAATCAACACCTTTTCCCCAAACAAGTATACTTACCGGGTTTGAATGCCTCAAGGTCGGAATTCAACGTCCGGCACTTGACTCGCAGAGAACGACAAAATGATGTGCAGCCCGGGGATTGGTGTAGGTATATATATATATAGCGATCCTTTGGCCGGTCTTCTGGTCGAGGGATTCGTTGCAGATTTGACCGGCTGCAAGACTCATCCATGTATGTGTTAATATTTATTAGAGTCCATGGAAAAGCTTAGGTGTATATGGCCCGCTGTGCAGTTGCTGTTTTGCTTTTCTCAGGGATATAGTATACGACCATAGTAGCGCACGGGTTGCAGAAGGCTGATATTGGGCGCAAGCAGCATGAGCCAGGGAAACAAATTACAAGATGTTGGAGACATTGTCCTTTATAAACTTAGAGGCTTCTCTACCCTCTTTGTTGGACCAACTGAGACTGTGCCACACCTGTGTCCTACGCATTTAGACCACGCTGGGAGGACAAGTACCGAGGTTCTCATGTTTTGGAGGTCACTAGACTGGGAAGCTCTTTGGGAACTCACTTGGATCCTTCAAGGACTGCAACACGTGACTCGAACTGCTGCACATTGTGCACTAGAACTTGGATCCGCAAGAAGACCCAGAACTTTGCAGCAAAAGTCACTGGGAAGATGGTTCACCCCTTTGGACCAGAAAAGAGCAAGGGCGTTCGAACACTCGCCTTAGTCTGGTACTATATATTGGTTTGTTTTGGAGTTATTACGGTTATTACAGTGGAGAAGGGATTGTCAGCTATAATAAATGTCGAGACAACGGTTCTCGGCTTCGCCATGGTCGGCGAGACGACTGGCCTCCTTGCTGATCCTTTTCGCACGCTGCCCATCACGCGTTTGTCACATATTGTCGGAGTGTGAGACGACGCAGCTCAATTGCAACATGTACCGACCTTTTCATTCCTCACAATCACTGATTTTGTTTGGAGGATTGGATGACCTTTTTTCATCCGTTCCTTGGTTGACACAGCAATGATACATATAGTATATTATAGTGTATTATATTACGTTTATTTTATAGATCGTTCTTTATAGACATATTATAGGACTGCTGCACATTATGCATAATATACCTTGCTACTGTCCGTGCTTTGTACTGAATTAATTGTTCGACGCCACAGAGCCAGCACTCATGTTAAGCGTCCATGCAAAGCACTTCAACTTAGGAAGCTTGCAACTGAACCTTGCTTTTGTTTGGCTGTATTCGTTGTCATGAGGATAATGGGCCGGATCAGGAATGACAATCCTGTTCAGGAACCTGTTATTTTTACAAACTACGATCAAACATGTTGCTTGCAAAAGTTCCTTTTCTCCCTCTTGGACAGATTTCAACCTACATTTTAGCACACTCAGCACTCACATAGCTATTGACTATTGATGTGCTAATAACTCCTGACAGGTGCAGGCACAAAAAGCCTCAACAAGTAGGGGTTGTTAGAAGAGCAAGAGCCCTGCTCCTCGTTTGTGAAGATAGATGAAGGAATTCGACAGTTCAGTGTCGGATATTCTTACTGTAAAGCTTGGCAAGGGACACTGGGATTGAGCGGCTGCGCTTTTTCCCAGAGATGACACATCCTTTTTGGCCTCGAAGGCAGCTGTTTTGAAACGACAGATTCTTTGTCGTTTTAGGGGAGTTCAGTGCTTGTTTTTTTTCCGAAGAAGACCTCAGTAGCAGCCAAGGCGTTCCGCTTTCTTGCACTGCTGTTGGTCAAAATGAGTGGAAAGCTACAACACAAGAGGAACAGAAGAGAAGGATCTTGGATTGTTTGTCAAAGTCCCAAGGTGAATGGATGTCCACACTGAGTATAGCAAAAGCTGTGGTGGGAGGCAGTGGCATTAAGAAGGATGTGAACCCGCTTCTTTACCAGCTGGTCAAAGAAGGTCAGATTGTCCAGACGAGCATCAAAGGAGACACAAATTGGCATTGGATGCTAAAAGCAGTAGAGAACGCCGGGGACACCAGCACCTCGACAGCAGATGAAAGCGTGGCTGGACTTAGCCCCTTTTCTCCCGGAACCAGTACCGTACGACTGCGTCCTACTTCAACACTTGATGATCTTGGTCGTGCTGCGAGTGATCGGGAATTTTTTCGTTCGTTGGCCAAGTCTTTGGAACCCAAGTATTCATCGGATGTTGAGAGGATGATCAACTCAACGCTATGACAGTACGCAAGGAGGCTGACCAATTCCTGGGACATGGAATGACCAGGGCCACTGTGGATACGATCGGGTTTCGCAACTATGGCACTGACATAAATGGCAGTGATATTGACTATGTGCTGAACGTTTCAGGTGTGTCAATCCTTAAGGAATCGTGGAGAAAGTTTGCAACTGTTCTCAACGAATCCATAACCCTGAGAGGTTGTGTGATCAATGGAAGCAAAGGTATTTCCATTCATTTGAAAGAAGATCCGGTGCTCCAATTTGTGCCGAGGCATGGGGATTTTGAGTATGGCAATGTACCATACTCAAATCTCATCGCAGGGAAGGAGGATCGTGACGAGATGGAGAAGAAACTGAACTCCTTCTTTGAAAGCTATCAAGGAGCCAGGAATGCTGCCCGAGTTTTGAAGGGTTGTCTCACTAGTTGTGTCCAGGATCTGCCAAAGCAGCCTTGGTCCCTGATACTGACGCACATGCTTTTTCGAGAAGCCAGACACTGCAACCACACCACTGACGTGGACGGTCATGACTTGTTGCGTCACATGCTGCGAGACCTCGCATGTTGGAAGCTTGCCCCGGAAGACTCCTCAGCACGGATGATTGAAAAATGGGCAAAGAATGCTGGGTCGGAAGAAGTCCAAAGCGCAGTCTTGCTAGCTTTGAACAGATGGAGCGACATTTGCTCTAATGTCCACAAGTGTGCAGAAAAATATTTGGGCCCCAGCAGCCAAAGCGAGGGAAGGAGTTGACTATATGGTGAGAGCCTGACTGATAAGATTAGATTTTCAGCTCAAAGAATCTCAAAGAGGGATTCCTAATCATTGAAGAGAATCGAGGCAGGCGTTTGTTTTTGAAGTATCAGTGAGCTCAACATCCAGATGTGTATATACTGAACTGCTCCAGCTGATCCAGGACATTTCATACGTTTCGCCTCACTGACTTGGTCCCCTTTCTTCTTCTTTGCCCTCGAAAGGCCTATGTATTCAGGACGACCCGTGGTTTTTATCCTTTGCGGATGACTGGCATTTGGGGTCCTGATCGCTGACATGATGTCGCAGGGGTTTCTGTTGCCGAGGGCGTTTTTGAGCAGAGTCTATAAGCCCCTATAAGCAAACCTTTGGCGCAAGAGAGAAGCGATCCTTGAAAAGGTTTACACTCGGAATCGCTGACATGGAAGTGGAACCACCTCTTTGTAGCGGAACATGGTCATGCAAGGGGCCATTGTCCACATCCATCATTGTTTCCGGGAGACCACAGTTGCAGCATGTTGCAGCCCATATCCATATCCTGTTTACTGTCATCGTCAAACAAAATACCTCTTCCCCGAGGAACACACCTGTTTTGAATGCCTCAAGGTCGGAATTCAACGTCCAGCACTTGACTCGCAGAGAACGCAAAATGATGTGGGCATGAGGGATTGGTGTAGGTATAGATCTTCTGGAATTGATCTACATAAAATATGTGATGTATTCTGAGATGTCCACTTTGATGTATTCTGAGATGTCCACTTTCAATCAGGGCACAAGCTAGTGTCTAGGGGTCATCAAGGTTATATGTTGCACTCGCAGCTGGTAGGGATTATATTTTCAATGAGAGAGGCAGATTTCAAACGATTCTATTGGATCATTGCATGGGGTGGGACTGAGATGAGCACCGCAGCAGGATCGATAATGGCTCATGAATGTTTAAATGCTGCCACAGTACAACAAGCTGAATTGCTGGATGTAGAAATGTACTGTAGCGACTCCAAATCAACAGAAGACACAGCTAGAGAAGACTAACTATATTTGGTACCGTGAAGAGATTCTCCGTTTGACCAGTCCAAGGCTGAAGTTTTCTTGACACTGAAGAAGCAGACCCGGAGGAAATCATTTCTTTGGAAGCAAGACTGTGATCGCTTCGCCTTTAGGCCTTATCCTTAAGACCTTTGATCGCTTTCGACCCACGAGATCCGCGGTTCTCGTCTCCACGAGATCCGCGGTTTCGGTTTCGGTCTCCGCGACGCCATGAAGCGAAGTTATGAGGAGTCAGGCCACTCTTCAGGCCAAGTGAAGACGACCACTTGTTGAGGTGGTAGTGGTTGAAGTCGTAGTAGGAGTAGGAGTAATGTGTAGTAATGATTATATAAAAGAACTAGTTGATTCAGGCATCGTTGAATATGGATGTTGAAGTGCAGTGTTATGCGCGTTGCTGAACTTTGTCCTGATGTCAATGACCAGACCATTCCAAACTACGGCAATTGATACGACACCATTTGTTTGAATCCTCATCAATACAAGTTAATGGTCTGACCAACTGTGTTTTTTGAATCAGATATTCAGGTTGCCAGATTTAATCCCAGAAGCAACACATAGTTGGTCAAACTGACAGAGATTTTGAGGTTGGCACATCATTTCTCACATTGTGCGTTACTGTAAACCCCATGCCACGCACCATAGTGGGAATTGTTGCCAGCCGATGACTCTGTCTCGGACCCACTTGTTGGGTTCTCTCAAAACCCTGTGAGCCTGTGAGGCTCCAAATGGAGTCGAAGAGATACTGGCCTCAGAATGAAGTACTGCTTGAAGGCAGTCGAAGACATGGGACGTGTCGTTGGATGCACGGGGCGCGGCAGTATAGAACTCTGGGTACGCGGTCCGCGTCGCACACATGAACGAAGTAGCAACGAATCGAGGTGCTGGGAAATTTGAGATAGATAGAGAGAAATGTGTTGCTTGTTTGTTCGGGGAGGGGAACTGTCCTTCGTCGTGGACCAAGTTGCCAGTAGTACTTGAACATGCAAGCATCTCGGTCTAGAATACCAGATGCCCACTTCCAAAGTCATGAAGCCCAAATGGATATGAAGATTGGTTCTTCTATCTATTTGGGGACGTTTGCCACTGACGTGCCGAAAGTCCCCGGAGAGTGCTGCACAAAACCTGTGGGATGGCGTTGAAATGGATCCAACCCAGTGCATTGCTGTCCCAGAAACGTCCGGAAGAGTCGATCATCACAAAGACACATTGGTTGTTCCAGCAATGGCTTCATGCGGCCTCCGGAGGTGCCTCTGTGGAAACCCACCCTAAGACCTATGATTTGTTTGAAGAGAACATACCATGGGCCTAGTCATGGGCCTGTAGCACCGATGGCATGTCCAAAAGCCATCCTTATGGCTGTCCCCCCAAAACTTGCTTTTGCATGGACGGATTGTTATGTTTATTCCCTTAAAGAAGCGGACTCATTTAATTTGCTTTGTTTCATCCATGTTGAGGTGGAGAGCGTTCTGCAACCCCCATCCTCATCACTCCGTTCACCGGTGAGGCGTTGATCCCGGACGTCTTCGCCAGCTCGTTGCTCCGCGACAAGGGCGCTCTGAAGGAACAGCTCCAAGAGGAGCCCGGTGCACCGGTGAAGTGAAGCAAAAAGAGAATGATGAAGTGAAGTGATGTGAAGTGCATTGAACTGAATGAAGTGATGCGTATGCCTTCAGCACGAGGTAACAGTGACTGCCATACGCTCCGTGCTCGTTCGCCCTATGGGGCCGCTTTTTGCCTCGCCCAAACCGGTCCTTCGGCTCAGGAGTCTGGATCGAGATTGGTTTTCAGCAACAAAGGAGACTTCTTTCCAGACACTAGCCTTCGGGTTCTAGGAGCGCCTTAGCTGCAACGAAGGCTTTAAGTCTTAATTGATGTTCTTCTTTAATCTCTATCTTTGGGTGAACGCAGCTCAGTCTCTAAAGAGCCTAATCATGGACTTTAGATACGAATACATACCCTTGGGGGACCACTGGCCGTTGTTGTCTTTGTAGAACGACCGTCAACACCGGCAGAGACAAACTCCAATTCTTCAATCTTAGTGACTTTGACATTGATTGCAGACATACCAAAGGACACCTGCGTGGACTTTGTGTAATATGTATACATATGTATACTATTATAATTCTATATATATATATGCAGATAAAGTCATAAGAGAAACACAAACATTGATTTTTTTTGTCAAATGCCATCCAAGTTCCACCTCTCCCCAGACCCCCTTCGGGCACCTCGCGCGAACCTGTCGGTCGCCCGGTCGTCACCGTGCCGTTCGGTGCCTCAGATCTACTCGGACCTGTCGGGTGCGGTGGCACAGGCGCTCGAGCTGATTCTGGGTCCGGGCCCCGGGAAAAAAGGGAAAATGAAGGGAATGGCTATAGTTTTTAGCCTCTTTTTGGATGCCCATAGTATTTGTTCCAAACCCAAAAAGGTGATCAGATGGCGATCATCTTCAAGAGACATGCCAAACAGCTGCCAATGGCTCTGAAGAATCACGACGTCTTGGAGTTGTCAGGCCGGATGAAGGAGCTGGCGCAGGAGACCGGTGCGTTGGAGCGCATGTGACAAACCGAGCATGACTTTTCCTGTTGAGTGGAAGGAGTTGGCCCATAGATTGGACAAAATAATACATAGACATATAGACCGTATATTCAAGTATATATGCCAAATCAAGCAACAGCACGAGGCTTTGCACGATTCTTAGATGTATCATGATGTTTCGATGAGACGCATATCAATGAGACAGGCCGGATTTGAACAATCATGCAGAAGAATGGACCGTGAGCAATATGATCAATATGGTCATAGATTTGGGCCTTTAGTACATACAATCCTTGTTGTAGCTCGCATGGCGTCTCCTGTCCATTTGCTTTTTTAAATCTCAATTCGGAGTCACAAACAAAACCAAGCATTGATTTCAGAATGGCAGATGCGTGCCACAATTCGTTTCTGCCGGCGGCCTTCCACACTTGCGGTTCGACTTATTTCACACCCCCGCACTGCTGGCGGATTTGCCACATCCACGATTTTGACTACAGCCATGTTCACGGTTGCGGTTACTCCCCCTTGATTCATATTGCAAAGCCCCAGATCGTGTCTGGGCAACCTGGCCCACTCCCGCGGGTATATAGCACAACTACTCGGACTGTGCGCGGACTGAGCGAAGACAGTGGGCTCCAGCAAGGTCCTATGCAGCAATTTGTTGTTCTTGCAATACAGTGGTTTTAGAGTGGATGGCACAAGTCCCAAAAGGTGGTTTGTATGGACCCTTCTAAGACATCTTGGGGTGCCAGTGCCATCTACTTTGAAACCACTGCATTTTGAACGGAACGGGAAGGTGGGAGCTTTCTCCAGCTTCAGCCATGCTGCCCAAGACCCACGCACGACCGCACAGTCTTGTTTGGTTTGTCGAGGATGAACGAGGCCGATATCCGCCACCGGGGTGTGAAATGCTTGGCAAAGAAGAAGGTCCGGGCCGCTGGAAGAACATGTGTCTTGATGATTTTTGATGTTGACATGACTTGGTTGATATCCTTTCTGGGTATCACGTATCCTGACCTGGTACACTTGATACCTTAACCCCCAAAGAAAGCCCTCGCTGCTTTGTCCCACATCAGGATGAAAAGGCCCGAAGAGATCCCATCAACGTAGGAATTCCTGCATACTCCGAGTGGAACCGTAAAATTGGCTGGGTTGTGCTGTTTTCTTTTAACCACTAGAAAAGTACATTCCAATTGGGTGTCCCTGAAGCCACATTGAAAAACAACCTACCATTTTTGCGAAGTGATCATCAGCTTCTCCAAACGTCAGCTATTCTGAGGTGAGTTGATCTTCAGGCTCGTCCTGTCGAGAGAGATGCAAGGGACCTGGAGACAAAGACAGAAGCATATATGAAGCAACAACAAAAAGCACATGGTCCAAGCTTGTGTATATGGTCCAGAGATGCAAGACAGCCACATAAGCTTTGACCATTTGCTGTTTGCCGGACTCTCCATGTGGCTGTCCATTTTGGAACACGACTTCGCCGGGCTAAGCACTCCAGATGAAGAGGTTTTGCGGTATGAAGGGGATCCAGATCACTCCGGTTGATAGGTTTGTGTTTGTGTCTCACTAATTAGAAATTAGCTTCCAGCGGAAGTCCAGAGATCGCTTCGAGAACTCCTTCTCTCCTTTTCCTCGCCTTCCTAAGGACTGGGCTGCTGATTGGCAGTCAAGGTGCCCGGATCAAGCAGCTTCGGCAAGACAGCGGCTGCAAGGTGCGGCAGCCCGGGCCCAACGGGAAGAGGAGCTGCCCCTGAACCGCCCCTGGGCCGAGGAAGGCATACAGAATTGGCTGATGAGCATTTCCACAAGTGATAAGTGTTTTGATTTTTGTGAGTGTGGGCATTGCACCCCAATGGGTCACCCCAAATACCCTGGTGGTCAATGATCTTAGTTCACTCTTAATTTATATATATATATATATTTATAAACCTCCTCAAGTCTTTGATCCTCACTCTTGCCGAGTAGCATCTCCACCGGCTCAGCCCCCCCGATTTCCACTGCTCCAGCGCCCATTTGCCATGGCGGCGTGTACCACGGTGGACGTCCTGGTGCGCGCCCTCGGCGGCGAGGGCACACCGGTCACCTTGCGGCGTGGCGCCGCAGTGTCAGAGGCCAAGAGGATCCTGGAGGCCAGGCCGCGGTCGGTCTGAAGTGTTGAAAGAAACTGCATCCATTTCATGTTGCCCGATTTGTAGTCCGTGCCATTAATATATTTATATTTTTTCAAGAAAACACGCATCCATCTCTGCATGAATCTTGGCCCGTACCTTCAGAAACTGAAGCCACAGCACCAAGATTTCGGAGTTGTCGCCTGAGTCGCCTGCGCCATCATCCTACATCCACCTTACCCCAAAAAGGCTCTCCATCCAGCCAGGATGTTTTGGGCATCCCAACCTTGGAGCAGCGCTTACTCCTTGGCACCTCCATCCTGGACGATGAGGCGGAGCCTTTCCTGGACATGGCCCCGCTCACGGAGCTGCAGGCGGCGAGACGATGTTCGTGAGACGGTGTGAGAAAACGCACCACGCATGGTACCTGAGCTCTTTTTGGGGGGAAGTAATGAATTTAGGAAACAAACATTATGACAATGTTGAGTACCCAAACCCTCCAGCAAGCAAGTATGTGTTTGAGTTGGGAGATTCCACTTAAGGGTGCTTCTGTGTTCGTGTTTGTTTAAGCAGTTGCAGATCTGGCCATTCAAACTGATATAGCAAACACTTAAAGCTTGAAGGGACATCAATTCTTCAAAATCATTCAAACCTTTGTGTGGTTGCTATGTTTGTTCCATCAAGATAAAACAAAAGTGCATGCTTTTCACAAGAAAAAAACAACGACAATAACATCCACAACCACAACCACATGGCTTGCAACTGTATCCAACAGATGGTTGCAGCATTGGCTATTCCAGGTCCTCAGACAACCTCGTTTGACGCTGGAGCAGTTTCGGCAGGAGTTGGGGCATGGCTCCTTGGCAACTTGTGGAAAGCTATAGGTGGGGTTGTTGAGACTCAGGATGTTTGAGAGTGAACATGCTGTTCTCACCGCGTGTTTGGTAGGTATATTTATCCAGGTTTGTTTACCGTACAGGGTACACCACGCCAAAGGAATCAGGAATCCATTTGACATGTCCTTCTTTGTCAGGTTCTTGAAGCAAGGATTTGCCATGGAGTTTCTTTCATTATGTTTTGGCAGCGACACTTTCAAGTCAACCTTGGCCTCCCTTCAGTGGTGGCCAAGTCATTGAGACATGTTGAACAAAAATCCTCCCACAAGGACACAATTTGTACCAATTTGGACATGAATCTCTTTTGTGTCAAGAAGATGAGTCCAGGACTGACCGAGTCAGACAAATATATAATATTTGTACAAATATTAGATTGATCTTCAATGGATTAGAAACATGTATTTTTTGTGCAGTCATATATATTGGAAGTACAACATGTCACGCTGTCTATGACCATCCACGCTGGCCAGAGCGGGGACTTGAGGTGAGACGCCCTTTGAACTAAACTTGCTCCTGGCAGAGGCAGTGCGCCTAGAGGAGCCAACGGTGGCCTTAGAAGCTCATCAGATGTTTGATGAGTTTTGGTGTGTGGTTATCATTGTTTGTTTATGCAATCCATGACAGTGATTCTGCATCATATGGTTCACCTGCTTTAATACAGGATCATATAAGTTTTATACATCAAGCGACAGGTCAGAGAATCTTTGGTACGGATCAACACCTCTGTCAGCGGACTTGATCAGAAGAGTCCGCAGAAGCCAGATGGGTGCGCTGCTTCATACTAGGGGGACCTCACAAGTGCTCCCTGGAAGAATAGAATTACATAGACCAACGCCTAATTATTGGTTGTTGTTTTTTCACTGCAAAAAAAAGACCACATAATGAGCTCAACAAGATCAATGGGCCAAAAACCCAGTTGGTTGGGATTCTCTCTTCATACACACACCCAGATGTCTCATGTATGGATCTCTCTCTCTCTATACACATATTTATATGCAAAGTCCAGCTCGATTTGCTCGGATCACCAGTTTTGGACCCAGGTGCCGTGTTGGAGTTTCTTGGACACCTCCCTTCTAGAATTTCAGATGTAAGCAACCAGCAGCCATCACGGAAGAAACTTGGAGGATATGTTAAGGATATACACATGATATATAATATGCAAGTCAATTCTTTCAGAAGTGGACCAACCAGAGTGATTGTAAAAGAAGCTTGTGCGCGCTTTGCTTTTTGTGCTTCATTTGGATAAAGCTTTGTGGATGTGTGAACTGTGCGTCCCTGACCTCCCTCACGTCCCCTGCTTCAAGTCCGTCCCTGACGTCCACGTCCCGCGTTTTCGGCCCGTAGGGCATGACATGTGCCCTTTGACATTCAAGGAAATTGTGGACCACCCAAACTTTGCCGAGGGGGAGACTTGGTTTGGTGGGTTTGGGGCTGTGGAAGATGATGTATGTACTATACGTCTCGGGACTCGTGTCTGTTTTTTTGCGATGAACTGGGCATGGGTGGAGCAGCTATCGCTCAACTATTTGGACCGATGAAGCGAAACGAGAAGATCATACCAGCTGGTTCTCATATCGATTCATATCTATCATCTGGGTTTCTGGACTATTTTTCACCTTCATCTGGGTCTGTTCTCAGAAGCTGATTTTACCTTCTGGGTCTCTCTTTACCTTCATTTGGTGCTATTCATATCTATTCATCGCTGGAGAGTTGGTTCTTGCACCTGGGCGGCCATGGGTGGCACGGCCTGCTCCGCACGGTTCCAAGCAGGATGATCATCACGTTTGAGTCAGGTGACTGTTCAGCAAATCGAACGTGTGTGTTCACAGTTTCTCCTTGACGAAGGACTATACCTGGCTTTGTAACCCATATTCTCATGGTTCTGTGCACCACTTCCATACCGCCCTTCCGAAGTTGGCTTCCACTTTGGTTCGTCTTGTCACGTGAATCCCCGCGTTCCCCTTCCCGCAGCCGAGGAGATGACGATCGAAGAGCAGGGAAAGTTGCTGAAGATCCTGGCCGTTTGGGGTCCAAGATCTGTGGGCGCTTGTGGCGGTCAGAAACCAATCGGACACAACTGGCTGGCGCATGCTGGCGCAAAAACCCTTTAGTGGTCACGGGGGACCATATGGTGGTCATTGCCGGTCATGTTCTTCTTGTCCTACCGTTATTTTAAGAACAACACCACCAGAGAAGCAAATGAATGTGTCCAGCTCACTCTGGAGATGATCTTAGTAAAAGGTTCTTAAAAAAAGAGCCTCTTTTGATGGTCGACATGTGCTGTGTCCATGGGCTATCCAATGTCTTGAAATTGCTCGGGTGTGTCTCATGCCGACCTTCCAGGGAATCCCCTGAGCCTCTCCAGGGCTTCTGGAATCTTCTGGACTTATTTTGAGCAACATATACTCTGATTCATAAAGCCAGCAGGAAGCAAACAGTTTTGCACACACACACACACGACACATACACACAAAATAATTTGTACGAGTTTTTGATATATATATATATACAGTATATTACATATATATATATATATGTTTTTCTTCTTGCGTGTGGTGACCTGAACTGCTTGGAGAAGCCATCTATGTATATAAAGGTTGGTCGCCATCCCCTGGTGATGAATTGGTCGCCTCGCCTGGTGATTCAAGCGCAGCTACTGTGGGAAAGACTTCCGCGATCGTAGGCGCCTCTTGGGTTTGGTGGACACCATGCCTTTTTGGTGGGAGGGGTAGATCTCCCACTGAGGTTTGGGGGGGTTTTGAACATACAAGACTATAGGATCCGTACATATTATCACATCGATGGACTTAATCCAACTGAGTGGTGTGAATTGCCAGATGGGCTTCAGAGGTGTCCCTTTACGGCCTTTGTACCACCGAGGGGGATAGTATCCCAGTCGGTCTATGGTGGCGACCCCCGTTCGACCCGCTGGTCCGAGCGGGTCGTCGACCAGGTGAGTGGCTTTGCTGCAGCCTTCGAGGGTCTGGTGCAGCATGAGCGGGTGGGCCGACGACCAGGTGGGGCAGAGATGGGAAGGCGAAGTTGTTAGATAGACCCCCTAAATAGAAAGAGAAGTAGAATCCGTTTCTTGGAGCCAACCAAGCAGAGCCCGGTGGTTGCAGCATTGTGGCACCCTGTATATAGAAAGCCACCGATGGCCTCCAAGGAGATGTCTTCGTAATCCTAGTGGACTCTACAGAAAGTTCTGAGAAGTCAGTTTCATCCTATTCAACTTGTAGGACAGTTTTCATATGTTTTCATCACTCAGCTCCGAACGGATGGGTTCACGAGCATGGATTCGCACCTGGTTGAATCGTGAACTTCTTCGATGCGAGCGTGAGGAAGATTTGGCATGATGTTTCTTGCTCAGGTGTGCTGGACAAGGGCTTCGAAGCACTGCACCATGCTGCTTCTCGCGGCTTGCTCTTACACTGCCAGTCTTTGCTGAATAGTCCGGACTTCCATGCAGCCGGGTTGAGGAAACAAGGGACTCTTTGATCTTCAAAGCCGGGAAATCTTTACTATTTTTTGCTGTTCCTTTTGCCTTTGCAGATCACACGCATGCCCAGACTGGGCGCCCAGACTGGTGCAGACTCGTATCTTGGCACACTCTCCTTGCTGTGTACGGCAAAGGACCTCCGAACTCCAGCCGCGGTAGAAGAGCTCCGCTCCGCTCAGGAATACCACTCCGCTCCATCACGCTGCCAACGAGAAGGTGCTGGAAACCCTGCTGACGTGTCCCGACCTAAGAACTGACAAGGTCTTGAACGCAAGAGATCGATATAGCTGCACCTGCCTACACTATGCCAGCTCTCCCGGAGCATGTCAGATGATTCTGAGCCAGCCTGAATTTCATTCCATCAATGCTCAGGAGCCGACTCCATGCGAAAAGATCGTTAATGTTTGTTTCAAAGAAACCTTGAGCTCCCCCGAGTCAGGTCCTAGTCAATTCACCAATTCGCCGCATGGACTTGCTCTGGACTCTTTTCATCAAGTGCCACCGCCATGGACTTGCAAGAAACATCCAGAACAACTCTTCTAGCAAGTCAGCATTTGGTCATAACCCATAAGCTGGCTAGTATATGTATATAACTCTTTTTTGTCCTGTGCAGCAAAGGCAACAATCAAAATCAAAGGGATGGGGAATCTCAGGAAATCTAAAACGCATAGGTGGGGAATGCCCAAGTCAACTCTGGATGACGTATATACTTGCCCAACGAGGTGCTGCGATTTTTTTGGAACATCATCCCTCCTGTCGCACTCATGTCCCTCATTAGATTGGATGCTAATTAGAAGCCTTTCACCTGAGCACACCTGTCCTTCGCCAGGACATCGGTGGGCGGACGGCCTTGCATTGTGCGAATTCGCCCGGGGTGGCGGAGGAGATCCTGCGCCATCCCTCCTTCGACTCCTTGAGCGTCACCGACAGCCTGGGCCGCTCTGCGCTGCACCTGCTGTGCCGGAGTGAAGCGATCGCGGAAGTGCTGCTGAGCGTTGAGATGCCACAAGAGGTCTTAGATTTGTTGGAGACTTGGGAGTTCTCTTGGAGACTTGTTTGGTTTCCGTTGTGTGTTGTTTTTCTTTGCGGTTTGGTTTCCGTTGTGGTGCCAAGCATGCCTAGAAACTGTTGGTTGAGTTCTAGTTGCTAACAGGTTTGGTGGCTGGGTGTTTAAATGACAGGAAGTCTATTGTCCTGTAAATGAAATCATGCCTGAAGATCTGATGTCGTGACACTTCACTGAAGACGGGGGAAAGGTCCCAGTGGTATCAAATCACGGGTGGTCGAGACAAATCCAGCTCTAGTATGTGTTGCAGACAATGTCTTCGCCCATCATACATACATCAATATATATATATATATATATATATACAGAGTTCAGGTGCTTTGACAATGGTCCCACCTTCGTTTTATTGGGGCTTCAAGCATAGTGCTGCTTATATATACCGATAGGCCCTCATGCAATTTTCCTCCTCCACCTCCTCCTCCTCCTCATCATCATCGGAGACAGGCAGTTTTCATCACTTTAATATAGCCAGAAATCTATTTGCCACTCACTCGGTAGACTCTCAGCCGATCGGAATCGTTTGTGGCTGCACCAGTTACCCATTGGTCAAAAGTAGTTCCAACATGCAACCTTCTTTCCCACTGAAACGACAATCAGAATCACGGCGCACATCAACATGTAACAAGACGAGTAGTAGACAGAGTTAAACTCTGTCTAGTAGATCGTCTACTATTCGTCTTGTTACATATTGGTTTTTGCAGTCTCCTACTTTTGTTTGATCCTCTTGATGTTGTTCCAGTGCTTCTGTTCAATTGGTCTCCTTCCCACCGGAACATGTGCCCCTGGCAGCAAGGGCCCACATGCCTCGGACCGCGCGGGCATTGTCGCGTTGAGGACAAGCGCGGTCGCAGCGCCCTGCACTTCGCGGCCAGCGAGGCCGTGTGCCGAAGGCTCTTCGCCAAGGGCTTCAGCCAAGTCAACGCATTGGACTCCATGAAGCGCAGTGCCTTGCACAACGCCAGGGATGCCGGCGTAGCCAAGGCGCGGAGTCGGCACGTCACATGTCGACCCCACCGGGTTGGCGGTGAAGTCGGGGGAAGTCAGTGGATTGCGCACGATTTGGCGGTGCTGCGCAAGTGAAGTGGTGTCACTGTGGGACATGAGCCTTTGAAGAGGCTATAGCTGGTACTGGAGGACTTGAACTATGATGAGCACATACGAACACTAAAACAGGCAGAAGTCCCATAGCAGCTGAACCGACGTGGCATTTTTGCTCGGGGCAGATCCCGTCCAAACAGCGGGGGCACGCTGCAACTCGTGGGAGGAAGAAAACCGGGGGATCGGTCCCCAACAGCAAGGACGCGAGCTGCTCGGTGGAGGCCATCGCATGTAGGTTGGAGGCCATCGCTACTAACAAGAAGCTACTAGTAGTAGTGGAACAGTCCGGTATCGGTCCCAAACACTGCCGGCAGGCGATTCTGGAACATCCGGACTTTGATCAACTCAATGTGCCTTGGACTGGGCGAGGACGGACCGGGCGGGGCTTGGGCGCCTGGCAGGCTTTGGGCCTCGCTGGGCGATAGCACATGTTTGCTGCGATGAAAGGTCCACTCAACCTTCCAGGTAAATAGAACTACTTTCATCTAAGACGTGAAGATATGATAAGATATGTTTTGTGTCGGTTTTGAGAACATCTACCCCCATTCCTCTCCTACCAGGCTTCCCAGCTGAACCTGGACCTGCTTCCTTCCCAGGCGCGCTCGGAGCCGGGGCATGAGACGGCTCTGGCGTACGCGGCGGCCATCCGAGACGACGCGATGGTCCGGGAGTTGCTGAGGCATCCGGGCCACGAGGCGCGTCCAGCCGGTGCAGGGCCGGATGGACCCGGAACGTGAAGGGAACGTGAAGGAACTGAAGGTGGGACCTGGGGATAATTGACACATTCTATGCTCGAAGTTTCACATCCGTCCAGACCGTGCGTCCCGGTGGATCTACCAATTGGTATATATTTAAATCTATATATGTGTTTTGAACTTCGGACATCAATGCCTATAAAGTCTTAAACAGATCATATCAATTACTGCATGCAGATCGAATTTTGCTGGCTTGAATTTGAATGAGGTTTCTTCGCTTGAAAATGGGAAGGTTGCCTAACTCATGCGAGCCATCCTCATCAGGTCGAGTCACTCCAAGCGGCTTTGGAGTTTTCATTTCAGCTTCAGCCCGAGACGCAAGCCTTGTTGGAAGAGAAGCTCAAGGGTGAGCCACAGCCAACTCATATTTGCCAGATTCTGTGAAGAGATTGTCGACCAGGGGATCCAAGCTGTCGCATGCGCGAACCTTTGGTCGCTTAAATGGAGGAGTGCCTTGGTCGATGACCTTTGATTACCCCCTCCGTTTACAAACGCTCAAGAATCTTCATTCGCCACTGGTCAGGTATTTGAAAAACACGCTATGTTCGGAGACCCTCCGAATCATGGGCAATGGTCTGAGTCCGAAGAGAATTGAAAGGGTCAGTGAGTCAAGAGATGTCAAAAGTTTGGGCAGTGGCTTCGGCTAATTTTATGTTCAACCTTTACTTGAGATGACTGATCCCACCAACTCATAGTTTTTCCCAAGAGGGTTAAAACCACCAAGCTTCAAGCAGCAAATGTTTGGGCAGCTTCGGTGCTTACTCAGATTGATTTGCTGGCAATCAGGCTCGAAGCCTCGTTCTCTTCCGCTTCATTGGATGATTTCCAGAGGTCCCCAGACCTGAAGTCAGCCCTCGTAAGAGGACATCATTACGCTTCGTGTGGCTGCGGCTTAATCGTATGTTTTGCTTTGAATAGGTACCAGATAGACACTGGGCAGACAATATGCATATATAGACATAGATTATAGTTATTACTGTAGATATTTGTTACTTTTAAGAACATACACAAACATGAAAAAAGAAAAAGCAACAACTGCAATCCATGCACAATCATCTCGAGCCACAGCCGCATCCTTGATGAAGTACTGTTTCTAGTGCTGTTTCCAACCTTTTCAGGTGAGAGTATGCTCCTGTACAGCTGAGCTGAGCCCAACGTCTGAAGGCAAAAAGGACATCGACATTGCTTTTCAACTGAGCATTTTTGAATTTCATGAGGTTGCAGATTGCTGTTCTGTGTTACCGTGATTGTTTTTTAGGGGTAATTACTGTTTGTTTGGGAACGGTGCCGCGGCGGCAGTTCTTCTTCCAAGGACTCAACAATCGCGCCTCACCTGTAGGTGGTGCAGAATGTTGTCAGGTCAGTTTTTTTGGATCCTGGCTGACCAACCAGAATGACAACGAAACACCTGGTACCCGCTGGTACAACCACATCAAATACAGTAAGTAGTGGATTCCACAGATGTGGTTGCTACAGTCCCAACCCAGAACAATTCCCACACTTGGCCCAGCGTTGGGTTTTGCAGATCAACATCCGCGACGAAGCTGTTGCTGCGTCATCCCGACAGGATTGAAGGTGTCAAAGATTGAGAGGTCACCATCCATCATGAAATATGTCGTGAACCTCACACAGTATCCATGGTTTGATGGCTCTTGATCCCATCGTTTGATCGGCACCAGCCGTTCATTGATGGGAAAACATGGAACACAACCAACAGCCTCGAGGCTATCAGCGACCTCTTGATATATCATATGGAATGAGGTCACTGGACCCCAAAAGAGACCAATTCAAATATTTGAAGAACCATTCCTTTTTGTTTTGCTGGGAAAGTCACTGGAAGAATCTCTGTGGTCCTTTGTTAATGTTACAGATTTCTTTGACCCAGCACAACAGCAACAACTCTGCTTGTCATGACCTTCCCGTTGCCAGCTGGACTCAACTCTTCATCGCCAGGCACCGCTTGGCCACCTTCTCCGGGCCCTTCGAGGCCTTGACCATCGCCCTGCAGCACGTGGCGGAGAACATGCAAACGGAAGCCGAGACCGAGTCCGACGAGGTGAGGAGGGCGCCGGGCATGGCCGGAACGGTTGGTATGGATGTAGCAATAGCATGATCGGTGGCCAACATGTCCATATATATATATATATATACATCCATGTCCCTATGGATCCACATACCTTCTCAGAAGGTAATTGGGTCCCCCAAGCCTACATAAATAGTCTCCAATCACCTTCTGAGAAGGTATGTGGATCCATAGGGTGTGTTAGCCAGATCGAATTGGTGTGGGACACAAGCATTGATTCAAAAGATCTCCTGCGATGGAACCGGAACACCGTAGCATTTGGTAGCAAATTGGTATATCCGGTTCCGTAGCATTTAAGGGTTCATTTTGTAGCCAGAACCGGAACACCGTAGCATTTTGTAATTGTATCCTTGAAGTCCACATTTTGTTGCAGACACTTGGGGAGTAGTTGATTCGTTGATTCCCCAAGCTTTGTGACGCTCAAAGGTGTAGATCTCGGTGGTTGCCTATCACATGGATGGCTTCAAAGCACTTGCGTAGGGCCATTTCCACACTCACAGAATCACTCATGACCTTGAGTTCTTCATTGCAAGTAAGCCACGGGTAGATGAACAAAGGTGACATGTACATGTTGAATTTGATGGTACCCTGATTACCTGCAGATATCTTTAGATCCAATGGATGGAGCTTGGCCGCTCCACTGCCCAGTTCCAGAACTATGCAAAAGTCATCAACTTTGGCGAGGGCAAGGACTGGAAGGAAGGCTGGAAACTGGAGGAAACTGGAAGATGCTGTCAAAAGAATAAGGCCAGAACGAACATCATGTCTCTTTAGAATAGGGGTATCCTGGAATCTTTTTGATGAGTACCCCATAGGTTAAACATGACATCCTTTCCACCTGTTTCCCCGTTTCTTTGGTTTCTTGGAACGTATACCGGCCAGTTCCGCAGCCCACACCACCAGTTTCGAGGCGGTGGATGGGGCTATGACGCTCCGCCCGGGAAGGGCAGTCATAGCAGCCATGGCAGCGGATGCCCAGAGGGGATTTCCAGGGGAGGAGTCTTCTTGACAATGTGAAATTGGTGCTTGGCCGTTTGGGGTTTGTTGCAGTGGTGTCAACATGAACCATCAACCTCAAGTTTTCCAAGCCTTCCTGGTGAAGTATGTATGTGGCGACGCGGCATGTGTAGTATGTGTGGCACAGTCCAAACAGTGCAGATCTTCAGCAACGAAAAACACTGAACCGGTCCCAGGGCGCTGAAGAACGCGTAAATTTGGAACACCAGGAGGCCCAACCTTGCCCCACCTCGCCCAACCTGAAGTGCCTGAACCCCGCAACCCGAAAAACAGTGCGAAAGCCCAGCACAGAACATGCACTTTTCGTGAAGCTGGTCTCACTATGCCCTCGCTCCAATGATCATGGAAGTGGAACATAGGCCCGGAAGTTCCGGAAGTCCATCTCTCCATGATGCGAGGACGTTATGTTGAGCTTCCATTATTGTTTGAGAGGTGCTGTTCCCGCCTGAAGCGCAATTGGTTGTTAGCTTCTTGAAACGTGAAATTCCCGAAAAGATCCGAAAAGACAACTACAATTTTTATGTCTTAAGTTTTGTCACTCATTTCCGACGTTTGCTTTGCTCCTTGGGAAGTATATTTTATCAACAGTCCTGCTTGGACAGGCTCATTCGACAAAGCGAACCAGCGGCGAAAAACACTCGGCGGAGCAAGGTCAAGTCAGCGTCTTTTCCTCCTCCGGCATGGCCACAGCCACCGGGAGCTTATCGATGCGACTGGGAGGTGGGAGGAGTTCACAATCATCAAGGACGTCTTCGGTTCCAAGATTTGATGTTCGAAGATCACCATGGACCATATCACCTTACAGCACCACGTATATAATATAACATAATTCAAGCATATTCAAGCACTTGTTACTTCTCTTGCGGTTCCTCCTGACCCAACCGAACAGATCCTCAATCTCTTTCCCTAAGAATCTCACCGACCCGCGACCACACCGACGTCCTGTCGACGGTACCCCCGGCCGGAACCGCGGCGAGCTCGCTTCGCTGCCCACCCGAAACGCTCGCTTCCAGGCAAAGGTGCTGGGAAGCACGGCCAGGTGGGACGGTGGGACGGCCAGGCTGCGTGCGGTGGTTGGCCGTGCTTCGACTTGAAGCAGCCAGTGTTTTTTCACTGGCCCAGGTGGTCAAAGGTGCCACTAGGTGCCACAAAAGATGTAGCAGACAGTGTCAGGCACTGTCTCTGACAAGTCATTCATAATTGATAAAACCATCTGAGTATAGTATAGTTATATATATATATAATGACTTGTGTAGATCAACTGTTATCCCAACTCAGCCACCTAAGGTAAGATGCGATTTGCACGCATCTTGCGATTCTTTGTAGATTAGTCATGGACTTTGCTTTTGCTAGGTGACACTGGAGGTAGCATCAAGAAACAGCAGAAGCCAAACAGGGATTTGAATCCTTGAAAGAACAGTTCCATTGAATATGACATGATTCCTTCAACTACATCGCTGTATTCTTCCGTGGTATGGTGGCAGCAAAAAATGCAGATTGCTACCACCATAGGGCCATAGGCCGGGTCATAGGGATTCAATATCAAAACCATTTGTGACTATACAAGGTTTTTCGAGTTGTTGGAAGGTGGTACGCGGGTTGGACCAAGCATCGTTCGCAGGCTTCAGGTGGCCTGCACTTGCTGGGGAAGGACGATGTGCTGATGTTTGCTGTTGTTATGCCAGTGTCTAGAACTTAAAAGTTCTACGCAGTGTCTTGTAGTATCCTCATTGGGCAGGTGCTTGGCATGTAATTGAAGGTCTTCTGAACTTGAGTTTATACAGAAACGGTCATATAGTCCTGTCATATACCTCTTGCGACCAACATGATCATCGCTCAAAACCGCCATGCCAGTCCATTAGATTAGTTGGCCACTGCGTCACTCAGTCTATCAGCCAGTCATTCAGCCGTTCACAAAGTCTGTGAGTCAGTAGCAGTTGCTGCGTTTTTGGCGTCGCTCCGATCAGCTGTCCATGCAATGATCAGCACTGTCCCAAACTAATCTTGATTCAAAGCGATTGTGGGCCAAAACCGAATATGTCACAACTACGGTAAGGGTACATTTTCTGCAGCCTGGGGCCTGTAAACTTTGCACAGCTGACCTGACAATCGAGCCGCCTCTCACAAGCAAGATTGGAAGCAAGAGAAGCAAGCCGTTGGGGGCTATATTGGACCCCCAAATAGATAGAATGAGATAGAAAAGTAGAGCCTCACTTAACAGGTATATATTGGAAACAGTTTCCATCTATTTGGGGACCAGTGTATTGTTTGTTGTTTGTTGCCTCTCCAGCGAGCAGAGCAGTCCTTGCGAACTTGGGACCCAGAAGATGCATTAAGCCTTCGAGGCGGGCGAGCCGTTCAGACTTGATATTGGTAGAGTTTCGATTTGTAGAATTCCTATTGCTACACAAGCTCTGAAACTCTCACCAGGGATGAAAAAGGGATATGAAATGGATACATTGATCATTTTGTGCCTTGGAACCCCGCTCCTTCCAAGCCGAGTTCGGTCGGCCACCGAGACCGCGCGGAAGACCGGACCCGTGAGGAGTTGGATTTGATGCCTCAGGGGTCTGCAGAGCAGGGGGCCCACTGGACATGGAGCTTGACCAATTCCAGTCACCAGTGGATTTGGTCTGTGACATCACTGTAGGGAAAGTAAGTAAGTTTCAAGGTGAAGAAGTATTTCTCTTTGGAATTCATGGGTGCTGGATCCACTGTGTGTAGTTGGTCTGTGACAGCATACTGTGGTAGGTAGCTGGGTCCAGCAGTCTGGTCCATCCTCAGGAGCATTGAGCAAGACTTGGTTTTCCTAGGACTCCA